GTTTTAATTTACAAAATTTTTCATTATTTTATTTGTATCTATTCTGTATTCTATTTTTATAATTAAGTGGTATTTCCATTATTATTATTTTCTTTTAATATTACAAATTTTTTTTGGTGCATTTATTTATTTTATATTTTATTAACCTACTTTTTTAAATGTGTTAATTTTTAACTTTTTTTGTTGCATATTGATTTTGTTTTCCAAGAAGTTCGGTATGTATATTTTTTGGTTATTTTATAATTTTGCAAGAATCGTATTTTTTGTCCCACTAATTATTGTTCCTACTATATATTTCCTCAATTGCTTGCAGTGCAGTCAGTGCAGACGCAGTAAGTCGTTTTTATGACTTATCTCCTGCTGTGCCGTTGTCTTTAGCTTGTCTGCTGCCAGGGGCCTACTGTTGCTGTTGCAGTCGACTATTTGTCTCCTTCAAATCGTAATCATTTAAATTGATTTTTCTTGTCTATGACGTCGTTCAACCTTCCAATCAGCTCAAAGCCATTGAGCCAGGCTCTCGCTCGCTCTGTTTCTCTTTCTAGTTCTCCTTGCGTCGTCTTAATTGATGAATTTCTGCCTGTCGACTGCTGCTGCAGCTGGTTGATAGCTATCTTAGCCAATCTATCTACGCTCGCCCACACAACAGCAGCAGCAGCATCTACGTTTTATACTGGCTCTATTTCTAAAATTTCTTATCTTCTATTTTTGCTTCTTCGTTACTCATTTCTTTCTCTCTTTTTATTGTTAGCAATTGACCCAAACTTGTCCTTCAGTTTGTGGGCATTGAACTTTGACTTGGTCGTTAAATCGAGTCGACTCGAGCGGAAGATGCAAATAAATGCGTAGCTTACCTGCAGAAATTGTGCTCAATTTTGAGTTGCAGCAGATTTAAAGCAATTACCTAAATAAAAATCATTATTAGTATTGCATGTCACACAAGGCGAAGAGGCCCGATTGCCCTGGAGCCCTCTATAATTGAGATTGATGCAATTGCATATAAAATTCATATGAATTACTTGAGAGAGTCTGGCTCCCCGGCTTGTCGTATGGCACACACAACACACACACACTCACATACACAGCTGCGAGTGTGTTTGCATTTTCGGTTAACCCTAACCGGTTTGTGCCGTTGCAATTGAGCCCAAATGACTCATAAACAGACTGAGCAGGCCAGAGCTCCGAGTGAAGTAATAACAGGGTGGACCACGTCCTTTGAATATGAGGATTGTTTTTCTTGCAAATTTAGAGAACAAAATTTATAAATACGTTTGCTTTTAATTTAATATAATTGAATTATTAATATATATAAGACATTGTTAAAATAGTTTAAATTTAATCATCTTAATTTTTTTTTAATGTTTTTAAT